CATTATCTGAGTGCCGATGTTTAATTGTTTTAAATCCCGATACGTAACTGATTTTTTGGGTGATGCTAGGTTGGTTATACTAGGTGCGTTATCGGAACTGGATTTTCAGCATTACAATAATCCGCGAATTCGGCCGATCAATTTTTATCAGTTGTCCCAGAATTTATGAGAACAGCTATAATAACCTGCATTACTTCCTGAAATAATACAAATTTAAATTGATAAAAATCGACCAAAAATGAGAATACTAATAGAATGATTTATTTTATGTCAGATTACTATCAATATGAAGCTAGTTGAATGGGCCCGGATTCTACATATCTATCGTAGACCTAATTGTATGTAACATAAAAAAATTATTTGTACATGATGCCAATTTTCTTTGTCGACCGGTGCACTACTGCAACACAAAATTATAGAATGCAAGACATATCGATAAATGGCATTAAATATAGAAGTATAAATCTCAACAATCAACAATCAGTACACATATTTAGCTACTCTCCTTATGTATCACGCAAATATAGAAGTCTCAAAGGTTCAAAAGGATAATCCAACCAGATGAGAGAATCACACAATTTCACTCACCATTAAACTGTATATCTTGTTGCACACCATTCCTAAATAATGATTTGCCAGGATCACTACTCTCAACCCTGATTATCATGTCACGTAGTTTTATCAAGGATAAATTCAAGCTAACTCATTGAATATTTAATAATAACGGTAAACCATGAGGAAATTAAAGCATAGGTTGAAAATCGCCATTAAATGGTATTTATATGATTAATAATTCATTATGTTTAATATTCGGGTTTAAATTTAGATCAAGTTCAAATTTTAATCGATTCTTCAATGATTACACTGGATCCCATTATTACTATGATATTATATGCAAGCATGTTATTTTGTCATGTGTAGCTCATTTTAACAAATTTCAATATTCTTATATTTTAATAATATATAGAGGGTTAATTATTAGTATGGTTTCTTCACTACACGCAAGACTATTAAGACATTTCGACTGGGCATGAATATTAGTTTAGAAGTTTAAAAGACGTGATAATATTAAATATAATAAATAATTATAACATCAATTAGAGATATCAATTTTAAAAGGTCTCGAAAAAAATAAATTAAGTTCCTTAATAAGCACATGCAGGACAAGCCATGTAGCATACGACTCGTTTTGCAACAGTACCACACGGAGGACACGTTTGGCAACCTAGAAAAATAAATATTAACTGAACTTGTCGTATTGTATTGTGAATTTAAGATCAGTTAATGATAATAATTTCAAGTTACCTGGTTTGGTATAAGCTGGCGCACAATCTACTTGAACGTTGATTTGGACCATTATTAGCAAAGCCATGGCCACAAACATGAGGAAATCACGTACTCGAAACATCTACAAAGTATTTTATCAGTTTAAATGACATTATTTTTGACATTCAAAGAATTTATTTTAATAATTGGATATCATACCATTTTGTGATTTGTATCGCGTTGTTTTTTTTTGAAAATATTTTATAAGTTTTGTATTGAAGTATTATTGAATTATTATTCTTTTTGGAAAAGTGTGTACCTTATCTTTTTGAAAAAGGTCAGGATATTGAACTTTTATAGCTTTGGCAATGCTGTTTTTTAGAAATTGAACGTTCTTCTTATTTGTTCAAGTGATGAAGCTTTGAATTATTAGTTAATTATTGCGCATTTAGTAATTATGCATAAAATATCATGATAATGTACAATTTTTTTTTATTCGACAATTTCAACTTGCTGCGTCATTATTAATAGAGGCCGTTAATGTTACACATATATTAAAACTGGTGAGGGATTATATCCATCACAATTTAATCCAATATAAATAATTTAATTTGTAATTGATCACAAGAGAGAGGGATTCACTCTGGATCGGGCACTGTCTCTGCTGTTTTAATAGCCATATAAAGCTATTGACTGCATTTAATTCGTTAATAATTAATTGGACTGCATTAAGTTTTCATTGTTGAATTATTTAAGCAAAGAATCAAATTTCTAAACTCAGTAATTCAAAAAATTGTGAATATTTCGCTATGGTGTAAACATTAGTATTTTGACGTTATGCATTTTTTAATAAGCTTAATCGCCCACATTCTTTGTAAAGACCAGTTTATTGTTACGCAAGAGGAATGAATCAGGCAAGCTCTGCATATAATTGATCAACTTGAACAAGTTTAACACGGAGTTTAAAAAGAATCTCCGGTGATTCAAAATTTTACAATAAAAAACAAAAAATCTTAACTTTGACCCTCAACTAAGACTTTATTACTTTAAATATTGTGCGTTATTCTATTGTTTCGAATTTTAATGTTAACGACATTAACATTTTACTTGATGTTTATTTTCGGGTACTTTCTGGTTATTTCTAAATTTGTTTAAACTTACGAATTTCGATTTGTTGATTGAGGTTTTAGTGTATCCCCGTGAGCCGCCACATTGCCCATTTTATCCAAAAAGGAAATTGTTTATTCCAGCATTTTTATATATAGTACTTGTGCTTGTGCTTGAGCGTTACGTATCAGTTCTGGTGCTGTACCCCCAAAAATTATTTATCGAATTCGTGTTGTATTTATAGATAAAAAAAAAGATAGGGCTTCGCATTGTTTTAGGTAAATATTTGCAAATTGTTTGCTTTTTTTTTTATTTTGATAAAAT